CACATCTTGGCAGGGTAGGAGTCATCTTCAGTTAAGACAGTTTTATTTTTCTAACAGGGTGGTTGACTTTTGGAATGTGTTGCCTTCGGATGTTGTGGAGGCATTAAATTTATGTGAGTGTAAGAGAAAGCTTGATAACTATATGAATGATAAGGGCTGGCTTTAAGTTTTTTTTATATGTATAATAGTTTTAGTTTAGTTTAGAGGATGGGACAGCCGAGATGGACCACTAGGTACCTCGTTGTCCCAAAACATTATGTTATGTATGTTATGATATCTCGGAGCTAATCTTATCTTCTGAAGAACTGGAGGTTTCTATTAATGTCAAATTAAAGAATTCATGAAAACAACATTCTTATCAAATGTTTAAATAGTGAAGTAGTTTTAAACGTTAAAGTAGTTTTGTTCTTTAAAAGACACATTACATGTATATACACACACACACTATTTATGTTATTATAAGTTATTCATTTCTGCTGTGATTCACAGGATTCAGTTACAGTGAAAGTAGTATAAGTTTTAGATTATTTTTTGAATAAAGTTAATGATCCTAGTATATGATATTTGAATATATATGTTTGTTTTCATTTAATTGAATAATATAAAGTTCTTTTTCAGTCTGTGACATTTTAAGTTACCTTGAAAGAAGGGTGTAATACTGAGAATTAAGTTTTTCATCCTTGGCTGTCTAATAAAATTTAAGATTAATCAAATAACTCTTACATAAACTTAGTATGGAATCATAGTAATTTTTGTATATTGTCAAGAAAACATGTTAGCCTTTTCTGTACATGACCTCAAAGGAGGACTTGAATCCGAACTTTCCAGCACAGCATTGACCAGTTCACCATATCCTTAAATTAGAAAGGACATGCTCCAAAAAATCAATAACCAGTAAAATACATTTGAGGAAGTTTCTGAAACAAACTGATATTGTTGTATGGAAGCCAGATTTATCAGTTAAACTGATATTGTTGTATGGAAGCCAGATTTATCAGTTAAACTGATATTGTTGTATGGA